GAATGGATGGGCCATTTATGGTACAAGGACAATTGATTCATCTATTAGGAAAAAGTGAGTTAGATCTTTCCTTTACATCATTTACAGAAATAAATGGACTTAATGTTAATCCCTTTTTTTTTAAACTGTGGGAACAACAGAAAGAAACAATGGAGAATATATTTATAATTGGGTATTAGAATGGCACTTTTTAAAACAACATATAAAATACAAAGGTTTGAATGAACTACCAAAGTTAATCACAAAATATAAATATTATGGAAGGTAAAAATGAAGTTAAAATATACAATATGAGAGAACATTTGCACCATATAATAGATAATGGCTTAATGTAGAGGCAATAAAAATAATACTTAGAAATTAATAGGAAAAAAAGGTTAAAATATAATAAAAAAAATGGACAAGCAATATATATAGTCCATTCATAGAAGACAAAAGTAAGTGACTAGTGAATCAATCAAAGAAATGCAAATTTAAGCAAGAAACTTTTTTTTTAGCTATATATTGGATCAACCTTAAGAAACACAAGTTGAAATGAGATGTCCATTTTTATTAATTAAAGTGGCCAGAATGTAAAATATCCATAATGCAAATTATTGATGAGGGTGAGGAAGACAGGAACATTATTGTCTTGCACTGTGTGTGGGAATGTACATTGATCCATTTGATCCATCTGTTTTGGAAGGCCATTTGGCAGTATCTATAAAATTTATAATGCACATAGCTCTCAGTTCTATTTCTCATTCCCCTGGGTTGCCTCTGTCTGATCTCTCACACTGGATAGGCTTCCAAGAAGGAAAGAGTAAAACCTGCCAGGTCTCTTAAGGGTTGGACCCAGATCTGCTCAGCAGTCCTTCCACCACATTCTGTTAACCCATCTAGTCATAGGCCACCCTAGATTCACAGGAATCAAGTTCCTGAAGGGAAGAACAGAGAATGATTTGTGGAGACAGGAAAAAGTAAAATGATTGGCAGCTATATTTTCAGACAGACTACCATGTAGGTAGTTAGAATAAAACACACTCTTTCATGTAGCAGCATCTCTTCAGGGTTTGTATGTTTATATAAATTTCAAAATATTTTATTGTTTGGGGCCATATTTCCTCCCTTGACCTAGACCATGTAACTAGGCACCTATTTTGTTATTTTTTGTTTTTAGATTTTTTCCTTGTGGTTTGTGGAGAAGTTACATAAACACAAAAACATACAGTAAAACCCCACTGTAGTAAATGCATTCCATAATCTCAGCTTTGTAAATCTTGCTGTTGTATTACTGTGAAGCTAATTAAAAACAGTGTTTCATCAGTAGGTGGTCTTGTCATCAAATTAAAGATTGTGATACTTGCTGTGCACAATTGACCTTGCATTGCACAGAGAAAGTCTCAAGTGATTTTGAGGCAGTTGTTTCCTAAACACATGCACGCACACACACACACACACACACACACACACACACACACACACACACACACACACAAATGCATACATGCATACACACACAGTAACAATTCAAAACCTAATTCTGGTTTTAGGAGGGAGAAAAATTGAAATGTAATTTCAACCCATCCTCTTCCATGTAGAAATCAAGTTCATTTTCTGATTACTTTAATTTTTTTTTTTACTAAATGGAAATTTATGATGTATTAGTGAAATTTTGACTCCTTAAATAAGACTTCATGGTTTTGCATTGACTTGTGTATATGTGTCTGTGTGTGTATGTGTGTGCATGTGCATGTGTGACAGCAATGTAATTTTATGATTTTCTTTATATAGTACTGGGAAAATTCTATGTACATCACTGTCTTCAGTTTCCAGGCTTCTTTTTTTCTTTTTTATTCTGTGAACTTTCTCCTTAGTAGAATGTATAACATCTTCTAAGTGACTGGGCTTAAGACATGGTCTCACCTTCAATCACTTCGGGAACTTTTAATACATACTGATGCTATCTGCTTGCCCTGTAAAATCTTATTTAGTTGGTAAGTCTTAGGTTTTGGTCTGTTTTAAAAGCATGTCAGATAATTTTTAACTTGTGGTTAGGCTTCAGAACTGTTGTAACATTCAGTTCAGTTTTATCTGTTAAGTAGTTATTGTAGAAAATGAATATAACTTGGAGCAAATATGTTACCTTTACAAATTCTACACAGAAATGTTTGTTAGACTATAACCGGCGAAGGAATCATCTAGGAGTTATTCAACAATGCAGAATTCTGAGGTTTAATTAATTTTCTAGTTCTAGTGTTGATCTGAGAAAACTGAATTTTTAGTGGCTTTGAAGGTTATTGTGATGCAGATGGTCCATAAGCCGTTGCATGATATCATTCTGGATTCTCATCAGAGCAAATGTGTTTATTGAGGAGTCTGTATCTTCTCATGCTGAGGTAAAAATTTAAATATATATATATTTTTCACTTTGCTAGTGTTTGTATTAGTTTTAAGTTTTCTGTAATGGTTTCTTTCTATACTAATTATTAAAAAGCTGGAGAGCTGGGACTGGGGTTGTGGCTCAG